CAAAACATCAAACGCAATACCAAATCCCACATATATATTTAATTCTTCTTGCAAAAAATTAACATCTGACGCCGAATTACTTAAAATTGCGCAATTTGAAGCAATCAAATTCAAACATTAAATCAAGCACTGATAGTTATTGTAACAAATATTTCGAATTATTTAGATTATTATCCTCCAAATACAAAAATTCTCAGCAAAGGGATGAAATTGAGTCAATTTAATGGAGCAAAACGAAGTGAGGTGAAATTCACCACTTTGACACCTCGTATTTTTCAGATATATCGATTAATATTGAGTTTTATTGGGATGGAAAACATACTGAAAAACCTGCAATATCAACACCTTTTTATATAATATTGAATAAATAAAAATTTGTTTTTATTTTCCAAAAAGATATATGATACATTTTTATTATACAGGTTAAAAACTGTCTAGCTTTTGCTTTTAGTGCTCGACCAGAGGCATACATTGAAAATACAATCCTCTCCATGGTTTTTGTGTAGGATCTGATCTTCTCAAAACGATGATATTGACTATTATTATATGAATTGAATGTATTTATGAATATTTCGAAATTTTAATATAAATAATTTATTAAAAATAAAAATTGAACGTAAGTACAAAAAATATAATTTGAAAGCAAATTAAAAATTAACGATACGATAATTTGGAACTTTTACCTTTTGCCAATAAATATAAAAATAAAATTTTGGGAATTGGAACTTAAGAGTAGAGAGACCTTTGTTGATATGTATGAGGCTATGTATTTATGTGTAGATCTGAGTAAGCTTGGTTATCATATAGCGGTTTCTGATGAAATTGAGAACCTCGGAGACCCAAGACCTTTGTTGATATGTATGAGGCTATGTATTTGTGCGTAGTCATTAAACCCATTCTTGCAAATTAGAATATTATTTTATTTGTTATATTGAGCTTTCTTCCTGATAATTTGCATATCTTCAAAATCATTAAAGTAAGTAAAATCAGTTGTTTTTTCGGTGATTAATCTTAATTCTTCGCATTATATTTCTTTTTTTTGAAAAATCTTACTGTTTGGGGAAATTCTCTTTGCGAAATCTGTTGGCCTGAGGATTATCTGGTTGAATAAAAATATGTTCAATTCCCCTTTCGCATAATAATTAATGAAATTGTGTTTTATTTTCGAGAGTGTGCAAAACGTTCCCACTTCTTGAGAGGTACGTTTTGCAAATTTTTTTCTTTCATACATAGAAGATTTTTGGAAGATGATTGATCTCTACATGATATTATATCATATTTCTACATTGAGTCCTTAACAATATTAAATTGCAGGGTTTTCAAATCAAAAAACTAACTTTCGCTCTTTCAGGTCAAATCAGCAAGGCTCTTCTATATAGGTGTTGGATATATTATCAAACTGAAATGAAACTTTCCAGAGATGTCCATAAAATTATTTTGCAAAACATCCCTCTCAAAAAGTGGGAACGTTTTTGCAATTTTTCTTTATTTTTTGTACCATTATCGGTCCATAGAGCGAAATGGGGACCAGGTATTGTGCTTAATGCACGTTTGAGTACATTTGTTGTATACTCTGCAGTTTTCTGAGAAAAAGATTATGAGTGATCTCGTTTTTTCTTAAAGTCATTTTTTTCTTATCAAAAAAAATTAAAATTACGTAAAACTATGACAAAATTACGTAATTCACAATTTTAATGCTGAAAAATAGGAATATAAGCTTATAATACTACAGGTAGATTGAGCATCGATGCGCGCTAATGCCAACATGATTAATTTGAGTCGGTTTTATATATTATTGGAAATTAATCACAAATTGTCCATGAATATAAGTTATATTCTTCGATATTATGAGTTAATGAAGGCTACAATATTTGTAATCATGATTGGCTAGTTAAAATCTATTAGAATAAAAGAAATTGTAATTTAATAATATTGAATTGACATTTTAAATAATTTGAGGTCTAATCCATTATGAGTATGGTTATTACAGGTCACTTATTATTATTCTTTGATATACAAAGAGTTAAAACGATTTGGTAATGAGATATTGTAGAAAATAAAAATAACTGTAATCTATTGAAACTGATAAAAAAAATTAAATCCATTTATTTTTTATTCATATGTTATTATTGATGAGAATTAGATTCATTTAAAATTGAATACATATTTTTGAGAGAGTCAAAAATTTCAGGATCGATTTCATCTTCGCATTCATCCAAATATATTCTAAGCTCGGAATTTTCAAATGCATTCAAAATATTGGCAAAGTTTTCTTTACAAGAAGAGTTAAATAAAATTTCTTGTAAACAATTAATAATAAATTTTGGGTTAAATTCAACAAAATCCGAAAGAATTTCAAACACCTTTTCAAATTTGTCATTAAATATCGAAAGGGATATTGAATCTTTTATGATAATAGCGATGAGGATATTTATCAAAATTTCCTTATTTTTGAAGAGTGCGGGATAAATTTGTCAAGTGTCACTTTTCAATAACCTTAAATTACGCTGTTCTAATTTTTTAAAAAATAACCTTAAATTATATTTGAAGAAATTATGTCTATGATATATGTTTTATTCTAGAATCTTGGAGTTTTCATGCACTACACAAGAGCTCCAAGGTTCCAAGAGTGAATGCTCAATAGCAATTATAGAGATGTACCTTTTCAAAATGACTTTTACTGATTAAATTTAATCAATAGAAGACATTTTGAAAAGGTACCTCTACAATTAGATATACAAGAGATTCAAAGCTTCATTTCAGATAGATTTGAAACTTTGAAACTCTTGGTAGATTTTGAGTGAATGCTGACAATCATCTTTGAGAAGGTTTTCTTAAAGAAAACCTTCTCAAAGAGGTTTCTCAGGAGCCCTGAGGCTCCCTTTCGTAATGATTGGGAGCCTTGGGGCTCCTGAGACGAAGAATGGCTTCGCCGAATCTTTGATCAGCAGAGGCCAAATGAAAAGGCCTCTACTGATGGATTCTCAGGAGCCCTGAGGCTCCCTTTCGTAATGATTGGGAGCCTTGGGGCTCCTGAGACGAAGAATGGCTTCGCCGAATCTTTGATCAGCAGAGGCCAAATGAAAAGGCCTCTACTGATGGATTCTCAGGAGCCCTGAGGCTCCCTTTCGTAATGATTGGGAGCCTTGGGGCTCCTGAGACGAAGAATGGCTTCGCCGAATCTTTGATCAGCAGAGGCCAAATGAAAAGGCCTCTACTGATGGATTCTCAGGAGCCCTGAGGCTCCCTTTCGTAATGATTGGGAGCCTTGGGGCTCCTGAGACGAAGAATGGCTTCGCCGAATCTTTGATCAGCAGAGGCCAAATGAAAAGGCCTCTGCTGATGGATTCTCAGGAGCCCTGAGGCTCCCTTTCGTAATGATTGGGAGCCTTGGGGCTCCTGAGACGAAGAATGGCTTCGCCGAATCTTTGATCAGCAGAGGCCAAATGAAAAGGCCTCTGCTGATGGATTCTCAGGAGCCCTGAGGCTCCCTTTCGTAATGATTGGGAGCCTTGGGGCTCCTGCAGCAGAGTATCGCTCCGCTCCATTAATTTTTTTTAAAAAAAAGTGCCGTGTGGCAAATTTGTCCTGTTCCCTCTCCTAACACATAACTCCACAACTACCCAAGTACTATATTGCCACTCCTTCCCGCATTGCATTTGAGAAACATTAAAAGTGGCGACAAGTGCACTTGCCATGGCATATTGTTGCGCGTATATACTACTTCTAATGAAAGAAGCAGTATATACGCGCAATTCGAGTGAGATTGCAGCAGAAAGTCGAGAAGAGAGCCCTTTCTTAAGGTTAGGACTCCCTTCTCGACTTTATTATACAATGAAATATAAATCATAGTATATTTTTGTCACTTTTCACATCGTATTACCCCGATAGAAACAAAACAAAACGACTTTCTTGATATATCAATAAATGGCACGGATAATTTATTGGATGCATTGGAAAAATATTTTAATACATATCCTATTGAGCAAAATCGATTTCAAAAAGATGAAATATTAGAATGGCCCAAGTATTTAATCATACAATTAAACTTTCGTAAGACGAAATGGTGGAAGTGAAGTGATGTTGAAACCTTGATATTTCCTCGAAATTTCTACAAAACATATATTAGACATAAAGCATATATCTTATTTTATTAAGAATGTTGAATAATAATATTATTAAATATTAAGCTTTAAAAAAGCTAATTAAATTCAAAAATGAATATATATTATTATTGGATAAATATTAATCAGAACAAATGATTTTTTTATTAATGCTATGTAATAAACAGAAATTCATCAAAAGTGACAGCTCTCAATTTTTGACATTTGTAAATTCTAAATTGAATGAGAAAAATGAAATAACACTAAGCATAATACAATATTCTAGATTTAATTATAATTAGGAAAAAGTTAGTTTTGAGAGTACTTTTCATAGGCATATAGAATGAAATCTTCTGAAAAATAATATCACATAAACTCATATTATTTTCTAATATATAACTATTTTATATAAAAATCAAATTCAATGATCTTAAAAGCGAAGGATAAACCTCAAAATTTACGAATATAATGAGTGGGAATATAATGCTTATCTATCATAAAACCATATGAAATATCAATTTTTGCTTTACGCCTAATTTTTGACGACAATTAGCAAAAAATGTTAAATGTTAACACTCAGTCCATTTGAATATGAAAAATAAAATTGACTTTGATTAAATGTTTTTATTTATCATGCAATTCTTCTTGCGACCAAAGATTTGAATAAAATTTCAAAAAATAAGATAGCTTAAAAATAATATACGGTAGTGTTTACTAATAGATGAATAGTATATAAATTCTATTAAAATGGATTTGATCCAAAAAAATATATAAAATTTGATCATAAATAAAATCGTTTTAAATTACTTCTTCATTTAAATTATAACAATTATTTTTGATTTTTATTTATCATCCACATTCAAATTTGAATCTTATCACAAAAGAAGGACCACTTTTATGACTACTGCCAAATCTATAAACAGAGAATGGCTATTTGAAGCTAAAAGAAGAATAGAAGAAGGTGAATATTACAAAAGTGTGGGAAAGGAAGTTGAATTGGAAAATGGTAAAATTAAATTGAATGTTGCCGAAAATACAATAAGAAGAGCATTTCAACTTCAAGAAATCGAATTACCAAAAGTTAGTCGCGGCAGAAAACCAAATCCACCAACATTTGAACAAAAACAATTAATTAATTCTTGTGTTTCACAATATAAAGGAGGAATTTCAAAAACTTATTTATTGATTAAAAGGTTTCAAAATATTGTTCAAAATCCCGATTGTGAGAAAGAAAAAGAAGAAATTGCAAAAGAATTTGAAAATATAGAAGATTTGACAAAAGATCAAATTTTTGACAATTTACAAAAAATAAAGCCTCATCAAGTGGAAAAATTTATGATGGAATCAGGTTTATCTTCAAAAAGAGATTACAAACCAGCAGATCCACCTACCAAATATCGTGCCATATCAAAGAATTTGATATGGCACTGCGATATTCATTACCTTCACGGTAATGTTTCTTTTCCATTCTTTGCCATATTGAATGATATGACACGTAAAGTTCTCAAAACTAAATTATTGAAAAACAAGTCTTCCAACTCAACAGCGAATATTTTAAGAAAACTTTTAGAGGAGTTTATCCCTTACTGCATCTGGACCGATAACGGCGGTGAAAACCGCGGTGAATTCGGCCAGGTTATGCAGGAAAACGGAATAGTTTGGAAGCACACCTTGCCGTATATGCCAAGACAGAACGGCAAGGTGGAGCGCCTGTGGCCAAGCTTAGAAAAGTTTTTGCCAGACGAGTTGGATGATATTCAACAAATCAAGGACTCAGTTCAGCAGTTCATTGAAAAATACAACAATACACCACATTTATCTCTCGATATTAATCCAAAAACGAATAGTAATTACACTCCTAACGAATTATTCGAAGTTTCAAAATTTTGGTACGAGCCAGAAATGCAAAAATGGGAGTTATATATCAAAGAGGAATGGGTTTTAGCAAAATTTGAATAATTACATCATTTTAAATGACTTCTAAACAATTTTATTTATGATCAAATTTTATATATCTTTTTGGATCAAATCCATTTTAATAGAATTTATATACTATTCATCTATTAGTAAACACTACCGTATATTATTTTTAAGCTATCTTATTTTTTGAAATTTTATTCAAATCTTTGGTCGCAAGAAGAATTGCATGATAAATAAAAACATTTAATCAAAGTCAATTTTATTTTTCATATTCAAATGGACTGAGTGTTAACATTTAACATTTTTTGCTAATTGTCGTCAAAAATTAGGCGTAAAGCAAAAATTGATATTTCATATGGTTTTATGATAGATAAGCATTATATTCCCACTCATTATATTCGTAAATTTTGAGGTTTATCCTTCGCTTTTAAGATCATTGAATTTGATTTTTATATAAAATAGTTATATATTAGAAAATAATATGAGTTTATGTGATATTATTTTTCAGAAGATTTTGTGTTCTTCTTCAAAATTTTATTTTTTATTAAAAAGAATCTTTACGAAATATACATTTACTTTAATTAATATTTAAAAACGTGCTCTATCAAAAGTTCCAAAAATTCAATATTATAGCTTTTCTGAGGTGTCACTTTTGATGAATTTCTGTTTTCAACACTAGACAAAAACAATTATATTAGATGCACATGATTAACATCTCTTGGTCTGATGATGTTTTTCAATTAAAAGATTATTATATACAGTTGAATTTACAAAATTCTTAATTCATAATTGCATGGCACAAGAGAGGTATGATCTGCTTATATGTTAATGATAGATATACCATATTATTTCCATTACTATAAATAACTTAAAGAAATATATCTTCTAAGTGTATTTTTTGTTCAATTTTGTTTGAAAAAAAAATTAAAACGCATTTCTTATCTTGTTTAGCTTTGATAAGTTGGATTAAATAATATTACTAAATACAAATCATGATAACAATTATATATCCATGCTAAATGCCTGAAGATCTGGTGAAAATATTGAGATATGCCTCACTTCCATCATTTCGTCTTACCACATAAAAATATGTGATTTTTAAAACAAGTTAGCTGATATGCTTTTAACAAAACCGAATCAAAAGTATTCAAAAAAATCTGAAATTGTAAAATATCTTAATCAAAAATAAAGGGTTGATCTTCATTTTCGGGATTTCAAAAAAATTTGGAATTTCACCTCCCAAACACACAGATTGTCCAGTTCATTGGCATAGAGAATATCCGATTTCCAGTGTTTTACTCTGAATCTTATTAGTTAAATACCGAATTTCGAACATAAATTCATCAAAATCGAATAAAGAGACTACCAAAAACGACACAAATATAATCAAGTCACAATCATTTAACAGGAACTCCTTAAATGAAGATTTTTACAATTTTAATCTCTATATTTTAGAAAAAAATATGCTCAGTCACAAACACAATTACTATGTTATGGAACAAGGCATTGACACTCGAATCTCTGGCCAATTCGAGGAACATCCAAAATTTCAATAATCTTATCCCACAGAATCCATAGCCCAAAAACTTTAATTTGCATAGTACATTTGAAGACGAATAATATTAGTCCAATTTTTTTTAACTTTGAAATTTTCAAAGATACAAAATTTATTACATTTAGAATTAATGCATTAATATATGCATTTGTTCCGTACCGAAAATGAACTTTACAAAAAGTGACATGAAAAGTCTTAATTACATTAAAGCCAAATGTAAACTTCATTGAGAAAAAGCAGTTTTGTCTCGTATTCAACGTAAAATCTTCAAAAGAAGACTAAACAAAAAGTGCTACACTGATAACAAAGATGAATTTCACATGGAACGCGATGATTCAATAACTGCAGAGTTGCGACATACAATTGCGGAAAATGTATGGACAACCACATGTAATGGTGGAGAACCATCGTATCTTTCAGAGGTCGAATTACTTGATTTTTATGGTGAAATCAATCAAAGAGCAAAAGGTCTTGCATGTGAAAAGGTAATCGAAGCTTATCAGATTGCCTACGAATTACTGGAGTATAGATACAGCAGAGCTTTATATCTAGCTGGCCTTGTTCATCCAGACGAATTTCCAACAAGAGGAAAAAGAATTGTTTACTTCGCTAGAAGTATATCTCCCCTCAAGATCATGGTTAAACAGAGTTTGCTCTGATCTCAACATTGAGATCAAAAGCTCAAAAGAAAATGAGGAAAAACGAGCAAAGTACTGTAACACAGCAACAGTTGCTAACTTCTTACATTAATTTCAGTATACGGCAGGAATTGATCCATGGAATAAGTGGAGTATTTATGAAACATCTCTGCTTCATCAAAGCGTTACAAAGTTATCTGCACTGAAAGCAACCCTCCTTTAACCAAAGAAGAGCATGAATTTGTGCTTGTTACTAGTATCTTCCCATATAATTCTGAAGGATACCGGATGAAACCATTTATTATTGTTCCAGGAATATAAAATTGTTCACAGGAACTCCGCTCCGTGAGAGCATTCCTTACAGGACAATCTTATGGATGGATGACAAAGAAGATATGGGATATCTTTAATTTAACTTTTATTATCGAAATCCAGAGATATCGCTCAAGTCTTGATGCTATCACAGCAGCTCAGCATAATATCGTATTCGGTGATAATCATATCAGCCGAGTAAGTTATTTTACTTGCAAACTTTTGAGTCTCTTCAGAATTGAACTCTTGACATTTCCAGCTTACTGCACAGTAGTTCTCCAGTTATTTGATGTAGGATGTGCAGCATCTTTGAGATCAAAGAATAACAGGTTAAAATATGTTCCGCTTTACACATATGAGCAAGATAATTTATCAAATACCCCAAAACCAAGGTTAAAAATTGTAAGAATTTTAATTGATGCTTGTGATTAAGTCAATGCATCAGTATGGTATTCATCCGTGGAACCCAGATAAAGCCTTATCCAACGAATTAACAAACAAAACATCAAACGCAATACCAAATCCCACATATATATTTAATTCTTCTTGCAAAAAATTAACATCTGACGCCGAATTACTTAAAATTGCGCAATTTGAAGCAATCAAATTCAAACATTAAATCAAGCACTGATAGTTATTGTAACAAATATTTCGAATTATTTAGATTATTATCCTCCAAATACAAAAATTCTCAGCAAAGGGATGAAATTGAGTCAATTTAATGGAGCAAAACGAAGTGAGGTGAAATTCACCACTTTGACACCTCGTATTTTTCAGATATATCGATTAATATTGAGTTTTATTGGGATGGAAAACATACTGAAAAACCTGCAATATCAACACCTTTTTATATAATATTGAATAAATAAAAATTTGTTTTTATTTTCCAAAAAGATATATGATACATTTTTATTATACAGGTTAAAAACTGTCTAGCTTTTGCTTTTAGTGCTCGACCAGAGGCATACATTGAAAATACAATCCTCTCCATGGTTTTTGTGTAGGATCTGATCTTCTCAAAACGATGATATTGACTATTATTATATGAATTGAATGTATTTATGAATATTTCGAAATTTTAATATAAATAATTTATTAAAAATAAAAATTGAACGTAAGTACAAAAAATATAATTTGAAAGCAAATTAAAAATTAACGATACGATAATTTGGAACTTTTACCTTTTGCCAATAAATATAAAAATAAAATTTTGGGAATTGGAACTTAAGAGTAGAGAGACCTTTGTTGATATGTATGAGGCTATGTATTTATGTGTAGATCTGAGTAAGCTTGGTTATCATATAGCGGTTTCTGATGAAATTGAGAACCTCGGAGACCCAAGACCTTTGTTGATATGTATGAGGCTATGTATTTGTGCGTAGTCATTAAACCCATTCTTGCAAATTAGAATATTATTTTATTTGTTATATTGAGCTTTCTTCCTGATAATTTGCATATCTTCAAAATCATTAAAGTAAGTAAAATCAGTTGTTTTTTCGGTGATTAATCTTAATTCTTCGCATTATATTTCTTTTTTTTGAAAAATCTTACTGTTTGGGGAAATTCTCTTTGCGAAATCTGTTGGCCTGAGGATTATCTGGTTGAATAAAAATATGTTCAATTCCCCTTTCGCATAATAATTAATGAAATTGTGTTTTATTTTCGAGAGTGTGCAAAACGTTCCCACTTCTTGAGAGGTACGTTTTGCAAATTTTTTTCTTTCATACATAGAAGATTTTTGGAAGATGATTGATCTCTACATGATATTATATCATATTTCTACATTGAGTCCTTAACAATATTAAATTGCAGGGTTTTCAAATCAAAAAACTAACTTTCGCTCTTTCAGGTCAAATCAGCAAGGCTCTTCTATATAGGTGTTGGATATATTATCAAACTGAAATGAAACTTTCCAGAGATGTCCATAAAATTATTTTGCAAAACATCCCTCTCAAAAAGTGGGAACGTTTTTGCAATTTTTCTTTATTTTTTGTACCATTATCGGTCCATAGAGCGAAATGGGGACCAGGTATTGTGCTTAATGCACGTTTGAGTACATTTGTTGTATACTCTGCAGTTTTCTGAGAAAAAGATTATGAGTGATCTCGTTTTTTCTTAAAGTCATTTTTTTCTTATCAAAAAAAATTAAAATTACGTAAAACTATGACAAAATTACGTAATTCACAATTTTAATGCTGAAAAATAGGAATATAAGCTTATAATACTACAGGTAGATTGAGCATCGATGCGCGCTAATGCCAACATGATTAATTTGAGTCGGTTTTATATATTATTGGAAATTAATCACAAATTGTCCATG